TACCGAAGAAAAAGTATTGATGATTAAATGGTATTATCAAGGAAATAGTTATCAAAAGGTGTCGGACATGTTTGCTGCTCTGTATCCGAATAGACCGATACCTGGAAAATCTACAATCACAAGGAATATCCAGAGATTTGAGACCAAAGGTACCCTAATAAATAACTGCAGATGTGAAGCAAGGCAGGAACAAAGAAAAGATGCAAGAAATGATAAAGACTTGGAAGTTTTATTGTGCGTAGAAGAGAAATCGATGGAAAGATCAGCACAAGGAAACTTGAGGATGAAATAGGAATAGATCACACTACAGCGTTTCGAATTTTGAAACGACATAAATACTATTCTTTCAAATATGAAAAGCACCAAGAACTACGAGATGGGGACGAAATACGGCAGCAGGCGTTTTGTTTTGATATGATGGAAAGAGCAAACACGGATAGGGAATTTTTAAAAAACATATGTTTCACTGATGAATGCACGTTTACCTTAAATAATGAACCCAATTTTAAAATTATCGATATTGGAACAAAGAAAACCAACACAGGTTTGTCGAAACAAGGACGCAATATCATCACAGAAAGTAAATGTTTGGGCAGGGATATTCGGACACAATATTATCGGGCCATTATTTCTTACGCGAAATTTAAATGCAGAATATTATTTGGAACTACTCGAAAATCATATTTTACCTGCTTTACATGATGCCGCTAGGGAAAATCAGGAAATTTGGTACCAAATGGATGGCTGCCCGGCACATAGTACCCTGGACCCTGGCTGTTCGGGAATATTTAGACAATAGTTTTAACGGAAACGTTATTGGCCTAAATCATACAGTAAATTGGCCAGCAAGGTCTCCTGATATTTCGTCAAATGATTTCTTTCTCTGGGGCCATTTAAAAAACAGGATATACAAGGATAAAAAGTACCGAAATCTAGACGAGTTAAAAAATGCTATTTCTGCCGAATGCAATAGAATTTCAATTTACCAACTAGCGAATGTAAGAAGAGAATTTTATGATCGCCTGGGTTATTGTCTAGCAGTCGATGGAGGAATATTTGTGACATCTTAAATCCTAAACTTCTAACAATTTAATAGTAGGTACCTAAATTAATAAGTTATTGAATATTGTAATCATACTATAATTAACCTTGTAATTGATTACTTTATTTTACTTTAATTCATATTAATTTGTATTTATAAATACATCTTTAAGATTTCCGATGTAGGAATGAGTTTTCAATAATAATAAAGCACTAAATAGGTAAATTTCTGAAATGACAACTTCATTTGACAGTTATCTTTTTACCTTGACTGGTATCTCATAACCTTGACTGGTGCCATAGAAAGGAGAAATATTTAAAAAGAAATCGGCGATAACTCGTAAACGAGCTAATCAAAAATATCTAAAGTTATTCTTTTGAATGTGGGTTTTAGTGCTCTTCAATAAACCTAAATAGAATTATTCTCTAAAATAATTAGGGAAGCCAATAATTGACACCATTAAAATTTACATGGGATTTCCTATGTCCCGTCCGACGATACATAGGATACATACAAACACCCGGTATGGGCCACCCTGAACCCTAGTCTAGATTAGATATCTGTTTGGTCTTGTGAATGCCATACGTATTCAAGAAACACAGAAATTTTTGCATAATCTCCTGTACTAAATTATTGTATCTCTGTACTAAATTTCTAGCTTTTGCTACTAGAAGAAATACTGGATAAAAATGTGTATTTTGCTTTATTAGAAAATATGACATATAAAAATGTTATTTCAATTTGAACAATTTTCTTTAGCTTGATCTTGATCTTTTGTTACTGTATAATCGGTGGGTGTTATGTGATCTAGTTTTTTTATAAAAATAAGGTCAATAATCAAACTTTTGCAATGTTGTCAACCTTGACACGAAGTAGTTAAAATCAAAAAATATTATAATGTTCTTTGACAAAACACCAGAACGGTATTAAAATCATATACTTCGGAATATAATTCGAATATACAACAGAATGTTGTAAGATGAAATATATTATTCCGTTTTCGTATGCTCTGAATTTTAATGAACAAAAACAATGCTTAGTATAGTTAATAAAATTTGTTCTACTCAGAATTCCTCGAGCGCATGTATATTATATATGTGTTTTGTTTTATTTATTTATTTATAGGAATGTTCAAACTATGAACATCGATTTTCAAAATCCAAATATAATGATAATTAGCTTTTCCGAGTTACTTTAAAATTTTAATATTGACCAACATCAATTAGGCTGATCAAAATATTGTTTCAGCTCATTTTAAACAGATACTAAATAAACTAGGAATATCGACACGATGAATTACTACAAATAGGCAAAACTACATAAAAATTTATCGACATATTTAAAAAAAAATATCGATATCTTCATATATCGATACATTTAATCATCCTTATATAATTCGAGGACGATACGGTTGCATGGTTCTTGGATTCGATTTCAAAAATATTTTGATTATAGAGACATTATAGGTCACTTGTGATAATGCATGGGTCAGTATTCAATTAAGTAATACAGTATGCAATGGCAGAGGTTTAACAATATTGAAGGTGTGTAAATGAATTGATTACAAAGCTCTTGAAATATTTATAAGGCTTAATCTTGCTGGTTTATTTTACGGTTGTGTATAAATTTTGGTAGTTATTAAAATTGTTATAAAAATATACAATTCAAATAAAAAGAGATAAGTTATAATAATTATTTATTAATACAAACATCAAACATCCGATACGCTACTGAAGCAGGTAAATCAAATTGACGTATCTAAATTCTTTGACATATAATCTTTGACAAGTAGTAAATAAAAGCAAGACTGCAAAAAAAAATACATAATTAGTTAATTTTAAGTAAATTTCATAAATGATCGGTTTACTGCACGTATGTATATTATATAGTCACTTACTAGCGAAAAGTTAGTCCATTATTTCTCTCGATTTTTGACCGAGATCTACCGCACGCTACACAACCAACTATTTTACAGTCTTTTTCGATAAGTCGCAATAGTGTCACTGTCAATTTAATTTCTGCCACAATTTCCTTCTAGATTTATTACCTTAACAACTATCAGAAGTAGAATAAATAATAAATAACATAAAATAAGCTCAGTAACGACTGACAAATCCACAAAATTTCAAATCAAATTCAAATGTGTCAAATGAAGTTAAACAAAACTGTCAAGGATCCCCACCCTAGGGCCCTTCTCCGTCTACCATGCATGGATACATGAGTAGCATAAGACTCTTTCCTCAATGTTTTTATTCAAAGTTTGCAACTTGCAACGCTGAGAAATTGTTTAAAAATTTTTTTATGACGTTTTGTCCTCGCCATAAAAAGTATCATTTTTACTCCTAATAAAACAATATACAATATGATCAAAAAAAAAACGGCATCAGTGATGGCTATGAAATAAAGATCGCTGTCATTTTATATGTAAAATTATATGGGGAGTGTCATCGATGGAAATGAACCCAAGCCAACTGGGCGCCGTTTTTTTCGACCATACGGTATTGCTCAACTAATTATTGCCGAAAAAAGTTTGTTGCAACTACGGATTTTATGTCTGTTTACAAAAGAAACTCTTTTTCGAATAAACAGATTATATCAATACCCCACTGGCTACGTCACTGGTATTTCAAAGATGTTTTGAGAAAGTGATTATTTCATATTATGGGTCATATTGGACTTTCTCTCTACCACTTGACATTGCAAGTTCGGTTCTTGGTAAACGCGGATCTTGTTTATAGATCAACGTATATACAGTGTGTTTATTATTTTTGTGTTTTAACAAAATCAATAAGTTCATTTTATAAATGGTGAGTCTATACATACCAAGTAACATATACTTCAACATTTCCATTTAAACAATTATATATTATATATTAAATTTGCGTAAGTTTTCTTGAACCATTTCTTAACTATAAAAAAGTCATATTTTCAGCATACAGTAAATTCTTAAAGCAAGACATGTTGAATAGCACGAACATCGAAAGTGCTGAAAAAATAAAAATCTCAAGACAATAAAAACTTTTGAAGTTGCCCCGAAATTAAGGGCGAAACGTCAAGAAAATGTTTAAAAAAAAACTAAATTTATTATTTATTAACGAACCTCAACCCAAGAAAATATGACTTTTTTATATATTAAATTTATATATTATTATAGTATAATTTAAATTAAAATATTATATACACTCACCGGCACGAAAAACGTGTACCTTAAAATTTGTTAAATTTTAAGGTTTAATATATTTTGTTCTATTTTAGTGGGCAGATTTTGATATTTTTTAGGCAATTTGTAGCTAAATTATTTGACTTTTTAGTATCTCTTTCTAAATTAAAAATAAAAGTTTTCATTTGTCAATTATACGAGGGAATACATGTTGATATTTTGGTGAAAGTTTAAAACACCCTGTGGAATAGGTGAACAAAGCAAGAAATTTAAAAATAATTTTATCATCTAGGTACGTCTTTTCTTGATAGTTTGTTTTTTGAATCATTTCGATAGCTTTATTTTTATTGAAGATATTCACTTTTGAATAAGACAGTAACGATATGGTAACGATTTACAGCAATTTTAGCATTGAAAATTGCCTTTGCTTTTAGGTCCGCAACACACTTATAAAATAGTGTTTATTGTTTTTGTAATGTCATTGTCATTGAAAAGTTATATTATTATTCTTTATTGACGTTTGGTCATTGTAACTTTACTATCTACCTAAGAACACAGTAAAAAAAATAGTCAAAAATGGTCATTTTTTTCGACTTTTTCCATATATAGGGTCATGAAAATTATCGATTTTAGACGAAAAACAATTGAATACGTCAATCAATCCTAATTTACGTCATACACCAACATACCAAATCTCGTTTTTTTATCTGAAAAACTACAAAAGTTATAGAGGTGAACCACTTTTGAGACGCACCGGTATTATTAATTATTAAAATATATTTTTTTCATTAATTTCAGATATTATAGTAAATAACCAAGATGAATTTTCAACTAATCCTAGCAGTAGTATTGCTGTCCATAGCCCATCAAACACATCAGCAATGTTTCCCACCGTATTCCTTGGGACAACCTAGCCAATCTGGACGCGTGGACCTGTACAGTGGGCAACAGGAGTTTTCCTTGGGTCTCCTCAATGCCATCAATAGATTCATGCCCAAGGAAAACTTATTTTTCTCACCCTACTCGACTTATCACGCTTTACTGATAGCTTACTTCATGGCTGGAGGCCAGACAGAGGGTTACTTGAAGAAAGTATTGAGATTGGACCAAAATCAGGTAAAAAACGAAAGACAAATAAAATAAATATAATAAATAGACAAGATATACAAACCTATAGCGATTAAAACGAAATATTCTTGTTTAACCTTAGAGGAAAAGCCAATTTAATCTACCATATGTATTGTGTCCCCCTTTCATGAGTTACGACTCATCATACAGTTTTAGAGCTTTGAGAAAAGCCAGTGTCTGAGACGGTTTTACAGAGGTTAGTTCTCCATCTCCGATACCAGTCGTACCAAAGTTTATGCCACGAATGGTTGTCGTCTCGGCACACTCATTGATCAGGTGTTCTGATATTTCCCCATTTTCCCCACAGAGTCTGCATTCGTCGTTTTCTTAGCTTCATTCTACTGAGTTGTTCATTAAGGAGACTGTTTCCTTTTAAAAAGTCCGTGACAACCTGAAGATCGTTCTTACTTAAATCAAGGAAGATTTTTCTCGGTCGTAAGTTTTGAGAAATTTCTTCTAGTGTGTTAAATCGTTGCAGGATTCCCAGTCCAGGTTATGGATAGAGTCTTCCAGGTTCTTGAATTCCGTTTTAAGTTGGTTTCCACTTGGGAAGCAGAAGGGTTCTGGTCCAGTTAGTAGAGTGGTCGCTCCTTTTCTAGCTAGATCGTTTGCTTTTTCATTACATTCTATCCCTTGATCGGCTTGCACTCAGAGTAGGAGGACTGCATTTTCTTTGCCTAATTTGTTTAGCTTTTCTAATGCTGATAGAATGAATTTTCCTTCAAAGATGCAGTTAATAGTATATTGTATAACTAGTGCGAAAAGTTGTCGATTGCCCGAGAGCGAAGTTGAGCGCAGAAGCGAAGCGAGTGCGCTCATTAGCTCGAGTGGGCAATCGACAACTTCGCACGAGTTGCACATACTATTTTTTATTACGTTGCTTTTTAGTATGTGTCTTTTGTTATATTTCATCATGTAAACAAAAGAGACTTATTAAAAAGCAAAAAATACTTTCAAAATCTCGTGACAAGAAAAATAACTTTTGGAACACCCCATAGATTCATAGATGAATGCAAAAGATGACATTCAAAACTTCAAATTTTTAAATCGAATTTTAGAGTAGAAAATGAAGGAATTTTAACGTTGCTTCTTCATAATGGTGTTTAGTAATTTGTTTACATGATGAAATATAATAAAAGTGACATATTAAAAAGCAACGTAATAAAATAAACAAAAAATAAAAAAATTATTTAAATGTCAACCTCACTTCTTTAATATTGACACTTCGAGACTGTCTTTTCTGCTTGTCAATTAGCGTGTGCCAATGAAAACTTGGGTTCGAGAAGTTTACTTCATAGATAAATGAAACAAGTTTAGATTGGAAAGTGCCCATAAGGACAATGTAAACACTATTTGGCGCTATTCTTGCAACGGTCGCGACCCAAAACTTTTGAAAAGTTCGGAGCGGTTCGGCTTTTTCCGGAATTATATCGCCAAATATTGTTTATTCAAATTTACTATTATTTTCGTTTAATTTTATAATAAAACACAGTGTGGGGGGTTGCATACAAGAAACTTTATTTTATATAAGGACGCATGTATGAAATACCTATGAAACATCGGAAACCGACGTTATGCCACGATGGTTTTTGCAGTTCACAGTTCACAGCACAGCTTTTTAAGTTTTTAATGCCACTTTTTCACAATTATCACCGGTTGGAGTAAATAAAACTTGAATTAAACTCACAAGATAGCAATAATTACTTTGAAAATGGACGCTATAAACACTTTTCGGAATTTCTTTAATGAGAGCGGTTTAGATTTTGAAAGATTATTATGATTTTTGAAGATTCTGACTTTGACAAGAGAAAAATTATTTCTGTTTTTGTTTGCCGTTGTTCTTAGCGACCGCTATAGCAGCGCCAGATCGCGTATAACGGTCGCGACCCAAAATAATTTCGCGACCCAAAATTTTTACGGGCTTTCCAATATAAACTTGTTGCATTTATCTATGGTTTACTTGTCGCTTGCCGCACTCAAATCGACATTAAATTTGCTCAAAACTAGTGTGGTAATTGTGAAGTGGGCTATTAGCATCTTTTCGACTCCAAAAGAATGCGAAAAGATACTACTGTACCCGCACGAGTAATAAAAAGAAATATTAATTTCGTTATTTTCTGTTATAGAACAAATCTGACATTTATGCTGCCTACAAATTGGACAAGTTCCTGACACAATTGTCTGCCAAGACTGCACCCTACGAATTCACCAGCGCCAACAAAATATATGTATCTGACGATGTGCCTGTTAGAGACTGCGTAGTTAATGATTTTGAACAGGAATTGGAGAAATATCCATTCAAAAAAGATCCAGAAGCATCCAGGTATATAACGCACAAAATACAAGTTTAATTTTCGATTTTCTTTCTCGAACAGATAATTTCTTACATAAAATTCATATAGTGTGTCGAACTGCTGTGAGGGTGGCATTGTGTTTCAACCCCCAGCCAGTACGGTCGCTTTATTTATATAAAATAAAATTATTTATGTATCTAAATAGAACTTTGAATAAAAATGTTAAGGGAGGAGCATATCAAAAATCTTAGATCGACCGCGACGGGCTCCTAAAATGACCGACTTAAATTCCGGTTTATCAGTGCCGTTCTAGTTTTATTCAAAACGTGCAAAAATATGATGTAGGGTAGAGTCAATAATTTGTTGCTTTATTTTACGTTGTGAATAAATGTTGGTAGTTATTAAAATTGTTATAAAAATATACGGATTACAATAAAAATAGATAAGTTATAATAATTATTTATTAACTCAAACATCCGATATGGTACTTACAGTACGTCTGTCCGTTCTGTGGCTACGGGGTATCCGTGAGAGGGGAAACGATATTCTCTCGATGTTTTTCGTAAAAAAATAGACGACGCGTTCCATCAATAAAAATTCGACAAATTTGCAAGCAGCCAATAAAATGAGTGGGCCGAGCGATTTGCGGTGACGTACTCGTCAAGTCGACGTATAAATTATATTGCTGTTTATTTAAATGTTTTTTGTCCGCATTCCTTTCATAGACACAGATCCAGCAGACGCACTTTAAGCAGGTAAGCCAAATTGACGTGTCTTTGATATGTAATCTTGAACAAGTAGTAAATAAAAGCAAAAATGCAAGAAAAAATATATAGTTGGTTAATTTTAAGTGAATTTCACAAATGATCGGTTTACTACACGTATGTATATTATACAGGTTGTTAATTCCCTTGTTAACTTCCTAAAACCTCGGCTCGCTCGTCGAGAGACGGAACGAGTCGACAGAAAACCCTATAAGTGCATGCGTTCTCAATAGGCAGTGTTGCCATTCTGTTCCCCTATAAGTAACTGTCCAGTTAACAACCTGTATAGTCATTTACTAGCGAAAAGTTGTTCCATTATTTCCTTCGATTTTTGACCGAGATCTACCGCACGCTACACAACCAACTATTTTACAGCCTTTTTCGATAAATCGCAATAGTGCCACTGTTAATTTAATTTCTGCTACAATTTCCTTTTAGATTTACTACCTTTAAACAACTATAATTAGAATAAATAATAAATAACATAAAATAAGTTCAGTAAAGACTGACAAATCCACAAAATTTCAAATCAAATTCAATTTGAATTTCAATTTAACACATTCAAATGAATCGTCAAACAGAACTGTCAAGGATCCCCACCCTAGGGCCCTTTGTCCATCTGCCTTGCATGAATATATGGATAGCATTATACTCCTTCCTTAATCTTTTTATTCAAAGAAATTGAGCGACACCTTGAGAAAGGCAATGGTAAGAGTGTAAATTGAGCGACACCTTGAGTGTATTTGCCTATAGTACAGCCTCTCAAATAGTGTTGTTCGGATTCGGCGATAAACTGTGGGCAACTGTAGGTCACGTGTACTTGTGAACACTGATGACGCACATCACAAATTTTCGAGCGAATTCCTTCAACAGAGTCTTAAGAAACCTCCATATTCCTTCAACTTCACCAAAAATGCCAATTAATCATATAAGATGCCATGATCAGCTGACTTATTAGATATGTTTTCCGTTTACATATTTATTTCTTTTCAACATCATGAACTTTGGTTTATTAGTATGTGTGGAATAAGATATGTTGAAAGATAAAAATGTATATATTAATTTTTTGTTAAATGTAAATATATTTCTAAAATTGCAGATTTATTGACAGCAACATTGCTTTAAACTGAGGGATTCTTAACTAAACAACCTTAATTAAACTTTAAACTAAAAAAATAGATGTAGGAAAAACAATAAATACTTCTACTACATATTTTTTATTGTACAAAACTGCCAAAAACCTTCATATTGCCTTCTTTTTGGATAAAAATCCTTCAGCCCCTCATTCGACGAAAGTTGACAATAAGTAAAATCCTTCATATTGAAGGAAATCCTTTAATTCTGGCAACACCGAATCACAAGTACATATAGAATATAGACGAAAAAGCGATCATGAATTCGCGAAACGTCGCACAAAGTAAAATTGTTCTCCTTTAAGTCTTTTAAATTCCCACAAATTTTTCTTTGTGCTGGCAACAATAAAATAATCAGATGGTTTTATTTCAGAGTATCGATTAACACGTGGGTTGAAAACACCACCCATCATATGATCAAAGATCTCCTACCACCAGGAAGCATAGATCCCACTACAACCCTGGTTCTAGTCAACGCTGCATATTTCAAAGGTATTTGGGAGAATAAGTTTAATCCCAACCTGACCAAACCAGAAATATTTTACGTCAGCCCCACCAAGCAAATTATGGTCGACATGATGCACGTAGAGGGAACATTCAGACATGGTAAATACGAAATACAATAGTATTTTCACTGTAGTAATACCACAAGAGTTTAAATTATTTTCTTTTATTTATTTAGGTATGATTTTCTAAAAAGTTTCTTTTGGTTTTTGAAACACTCTGTATACAGGGTGTCAAAAAATAGTGTATCTATCTACGGTGGGTGATTCTGCCGATAAAAATAAAAACGGAATTCTACTCTATTGCCATTCGCTTTGCCACTAAAATATGTGTTAAAATGTCAAGAAAAACAGTTCACCAATATTCTTAAAAATAAACAAAATGTATTATTTTTATTTACCTTTTCGAGAGCTGTAACTTCTTCAGGAAGCATTTTAGGGCACATATTCATAGAATCTTTTTGTTTTACTTTTATCTGTAGAATCGCTCACTAAAGTTAGATACACTATTTTTTTGACACCCTGTATACAGTGGTGGCCAAAAGTATGGAAACTTTTTACTTTTTAAAATATCACAGAAAATATTATGAATGAACAGCTTATCAGCAAATAAAAGTATTCCAAAAATTACACAGCGAAAAAAATCTGTTTAGCAGTTTTTGTAGGAGAACAATAGATTTCTTGTGGCCAAAAGTATGGAAACCATAAATAAATACATTAAAATTATTTACTTTAAGCTGATAAACGGTACGATTTGCTTCAGATAAATATAAACATCATGCCCAAGTCTAAATATTTCTCTACGGATTTAAAAAATAAAATAGTTGAATTATACAAGAGCGGTTATAAACAAATTCAAATAAGTAAAAATTTAAACATTTTAAAAGGCACCGTTTCGAAAATAATTCGTAAATTTAATAAAACAGGGAACGTTTCAACAGCTTTTAAGTCAGGAAGACCAAGAAAGTTGTGCAACAGGACAATGAAAGTAATGAAGAGAATATCAATGGGAGATCCAAGAAAAACATCCACAGACATTTCTCGAGAAATGGCTGAAAGGGGAATATCGGTGTCTGCACGCACGGTGAGAAGAAGGTTGGATGACATGGGCCTTTTTGGAAGAGTTGCGGTGAAGAAACCACTAATATCAAAGAAAAATAGGATGGTCCGCTTTAAATTTGCTCAAGATCATCTCACCTGGTCAGAAATGGAATACTGTACTGTTTAGCGACGAAAGCAAGTTTCAACTGTTTGGTAGTGACGGGAGATGTTATGTCCGAAGACCAAAAGGTACACGGTACAGCCATAAGTACCAGATGCCCACAGTAAAACATGGGGGTGGGAGTGTAATGGTATGGGGGTGATTTTCTCGCTCAGGTGTTGGTCCTCTTGTTGATGGGATAATGGACCGTTTTTTGTACAAAGACATATTGGAGAATAATATGCTGCCTCATGCTGATGAAGAAATGTCACTCAGATGGTTGTTCCAGCAAGACAATGATCCCAAGCACAAATCTCGGTTTGTTCAAAATTGGTTAAATGAACATAATGTTCCACTAATGGATTGGCCCTCCCAGTCTCCGGATCTTAACCCCATAGAAAATTTATGGGACCATTTGGATAGCAAAATTCGAAGCCATTCTATTCTGAATGGGTGGCCATTTCCAGTAAAGATTGTACGAGATTGATCGGTTCGATGCCACGAAGATGTAGAGAAGTAATTAATTCAAAGGGATATTCCACTAAATATTAGTAATTTTTATATTATCTTGAATTTTAATAAACATTCTTCTTAAGTTTCCATACTTTTGACCAAGAAAATATTCATAATTTTTTATATATTTTTTGATAGCTGTAATTTTTTATTTAAATGTATTAGGTTTTGTAGGAAATTATTTGTAGGTCACGATTATATAAGTCGTTTTATTTCATATTTTAATTTCTCAGCATAAATGACAAATTAAAAAAGTTTCCATACTTTTGGCCACCACTGTATATGGTGTTTTTTATACCAACATTGGTCCTATTCAATTAATTAATTATTCTTCCAAGTGCTTTTAGCGATTCGAATGAAATTTTGACTGTAAAAGTTACTATAAGTGCTACATACAGATTGTTAACTGGATGGTTACTTATTGAAGAACAGAATGGCAACACTGCCTACATTCCAAATGTGTACTAAGCTAAGTTGCCGAATCGTCCCGTCGCGTCGCGTCGCGTCGTGTCGCCGGCGTGGCGTCGTCTCTCGACGAGCGGGCTGAGGTTGCCATATTTCAACCATAAACCTCTTGCCGCCAGTAATAAACAACTTAACAACCTGTATTTTAGTGCTAAAAAAGTATCGACAGATTCATCAGGGGTGTGCATATGGGTTAATAATAATAATAAATAACGCTTTATTATGCAAAAAGCAAAAATAGCTTCATCGACAAAACATTTACAAAACAAACAAAAGCACAAAAAATATATAAATAATGAAAGGCAGAAAGTAGTCTCGACTGACTAGTGAGAAAGAAAACCTAGGAACTAGTGAGGTTGCAGTCGGACTGCAACCCTACTAGTTCCTAGATTTTCTTAAATAATTAAAAATATACAATATAAATCATACAATTCAAAAAAAATTATGTCATTAAAATTACAAATAGAACATACATGGAAAATTGCAGAACACAAAAAAAGGCGTATCAATAAAATTTTACGAGTTAGTTTTAAGAGTTATAAAATATTAAATACTCGATAATTGAGCAGTGTGTGAGATGATCAAAATTTTAAAATTCAAAATTTTTCATGATTAAACATCAACAAAAAATTCGTTTACCGCATATATGGCTCTCTCCAGCAAGTATAATTTCAGAGCTTTGCTAAATGCGGGAAAGAATGAAAGCGACTTGATATTCAAAGGCAGATGATTGTACATTTTTTTTGGTATTGTACAGTATTGAGCCTTTAACTAGTTCTGAGCTCGGGGTTGGCAGATAAAAATCGTGCTCCGCATTCCTAAGTAAAGTTGTCACTTGAATATTTTTTCTAAAAAAGCATGTGCGCCACTGACTGTTGTATCTCTTATTAGCAAATATTGTTTGCCATTAGTTGAGAAATATTGTATTGAAATGCTGTGAAATTTTCCAACAAATTAAAATTATCCTGTATATTTTTTAGAAATATCTGAAAGTTTGGGTGCTCATATCCTCGAACTGCCTTACAAAGGAGACAACATCAGCATGTACATTCTACTGCCTCCATTTTCCAATACAGAAGACTCTATCGAGACGACTTTGAAAAACTTGAATCTTGACAGTTTCAGAAGAATCGTAGATGGAGGATCTCTTGTTTCGAGGACTGTACAAGTGGCTTTACCTAAATTCGCTTTGGAGACCACTATTGAGTTAGTGCCGGTAAGCATAGACTAATTTGAATAATTATTATACCTAGGTATATTTAAAATTACACATGGCGTTTAGATATTGGCAAAAAACTCTTTATAAGACATCCTATTAGTTTACATTACTTAAATATTATGTTAAATTAAAAATACGTAGCAAATATAGACAACATTTTCCTCACCAACTGAATTCACCTTTTAATGGTAATATTTTCACAATAATTACCATTAAATTTTAGAAGGGAAAAAACAAAAATATTGATACACTTTAAAGAGTTTTAAAATGCTTAACAACGAAAAACGTACAAAACATTTATTTATTTCGTTAGATAAAATTGTGTTCTGATCGATGCTACTAAGAACTTCACTTTCCTTGATTTGTAGTTTTTTTGATAGCACAAATATTTCCAGAAACTTCAGTGTATCAATACAAAATATACATTTTAATAAATATATGAAATAAACAAAATAAGTCCGTAAGTTAATTTTTTAGGTGTATAGTTAACATTAATTTCTTTGTATATATTATTCTAACATTCTCCAATTTTGTTTTATTTACTAACCAAATAGTGTTTTTTAATGTTCTAGTGTACTAAAAACATAAGTATTCTCGTTAATCGTGAGTGTGCTTTTACGAACCTACCATAGACGATTGAATAAAAAAACGTCGTCATAGCTGACTTAGAAATAAAGATCGTTATTATTTGATATGTACTTTTACATGAGTAATATCATTTGGAACCTTCGTTGATGACGCCGTATTTTTTCGATCATACGATATATGTAGTTCCATCGATCGCCCTAGTATGATGACGTCGCGTCTAAGCTGCTAGGCCTTTTTTTCTCGAAGGTGATACCTGTGAAACTGCGAACCATGCTAATATCGGGATATTATGTTTTGTGAAAGCTCATTAGACCCGGTTGTACAAAGATAGCTTAAACTCTAGTTCAAGTGAACTCGAAGTAATGAACTATGAAGTTCAACGATAAGAAAAATTTGAACTTGGTTTAATCCTGAACTTACTCTGAACCTTATCAGGATTGATTTTTTTTAAAATGTACATCTGGTATATTTAATGCATAATAAAAAAAAATTGATAAGTGCGTTTTTTATCTAAATAAAAATGGTTGACGAGAATACTCATATTTACAATGCTTTAGTTCAGTCACAGTTATTCAATATCCAGTATGATATCTCTGTCTCACCTTTTTAACATTACACACCCTCTACGTCATGTCACGCTACGTCATGGCATATATACTTGACCAAGATTTAGAAAGAATAAATAAAACTAGGAGATATACAGGATGAGTCTTAAATAAGTGCAAATATTTCCAGGGTGGTATATTTCGACCCCAGGAACACGTCTATGAGGTTTTTTCGCAAAAAAAAGATGATGAAAATTCTGCATTTTCTTTTAAATTTTTCTGTATATTTTAGAAAACTTTTTAGAACAGCCTATTCACCGCAAATTTTCCCTCGGTATAATTTGTTAATCGCTGATATTACCATAGTTACGGTATTAAAAGGGATGCAAATACAGAAAAAAATTCGGTGGCTCTCAATATTTTTGAAAAATAAATCAGTTTTTTTAAAATTATCAAACTTGAATAATTCGGTTATTTTGAACTTACGTGAAAAACGGTAAACATATGTTTCTTTTATCGAGATCTGAAAATATTTGCACTTATTTAAGACATCCTGTATAGCTGGGTATTTAATAAGCTGTGGTTTAGTTTTAGAATATGTTGCTTATGTATATACTCTGTTTTATGCCTAGATCATAATATACTTTTTCGCTAATAAAATTATACTTTCTCAACTATTAGGACAGAACATGTAAACACATATTATGTAGTAATTACACTATTGTGGCCGGCCATGATTCAGTGACAAGTGTGTGTGCTCCTGACCTAGATACTATCCCCAAACGGTAGAGTCGTTTTGTTAAAATATTGTTACAATCAAAGGTTACAATTTTAAAAAAAACTTAAAACTTTACCTATTATTACTTTTTCTTGAGACACCCTGTGTACGACAAAATATTTTTAGGATATGCACCCTTATAAAACCAGGCAATATTTATATAAATCTTCTTTTCAAACCTTCGACAACAACGACAATATTATATTATGGTGGTTTGTGGGTAGCTTAAGAAAAAAATGAACGGTTTTGCTTTAGAGGTATCCACGAAAGTATACACGGTGTTTCATATAAAAATGCAAACTAGAGAGGTCTTGTCAGGGGTCTCAAATTTAATCATATTTGTAGAGTAGTCACGACTAAAGACGAGACCAGATGCTTCTGGTTCTCTGGCTGCAGAAGGCCTCTGGTTCTCAGCGACAGAGCCAAAGCAAGATAATTTGGAAATATGAGTTTATATCATTAGAATAAAAATTTCTAAGCATACTGTGATGGATCAGCGCGACCTACAATAGCAAGTATAGTCTGTCCAACGACAAAATCCTTGACAGTGATAGAAGTGTCCGTCATTTTAATTTCAAAGTAGTTTGTAAATTTTATTTTACAACGAAATAAGTTGGTACAATTGGAACGCATAGCAGAAAATCTTTGAAAAGTTAATATATTTAAAATTTGAGTGACAAGTGATCGATTACTTCAAAATAGTGTGAAAAAAAACTGTATAAAGAGCGATCGCAATGTAATAATGTCGTTGATAATCTCTAGGTTTATGAGATAATGCGCCAATAAAAAAATACAGGGTGGTATGAATCGGGAAACTTCAGCAGCATATTCTGCAGATAAAAATAAGTAAAAAATGTTACTGTATATGTTTTGTTCCTGTTGTGGTCATTCACGTGGGGGTTCGGGACACCGTGTATACTGTATATTATGATCTATGGTTGTATGGTTTATTTCTATTAAATATGTTGTTTAACCACGTACTAACACTGAGCTTTTTGCACGGTAGGTCCTAGAATCGCTGGGTGTCGGCAACCTTTTCACTGTCAACGCGGACTTTCGCTCTCTCACAAATAGCAAGGTGTCGGTGGGCGAGGGCATCCACAAGGCCAGAATCGAGATAAACGAGCACGGGGCCCACGCCGCAGCCGCCACGGCCTTCTTGACGTGGAGGATGAGCGACGACGAAGACGTCTTTAAATTCAGATGCGACAAACCGTTTGTGTATTTCATTTACAACCAACACTCGCACACCGTTCTGTTTGTCGGCGTGTATAGAAATCCCGGCCAAAATCTCTAAAAAGACTTCGAACGTTTGGCGGGCGAAATGTGTATTTTGTCCCTGAAGTGCAGGCAACCAGATAAACACGAGACAATTGTTAGTTGTATAACTAATTTTTTTAATATACGAACATTGATACGAACCGTGAAAGAAATAAAAACCATGCAATTTTTCTGCTGCTGGAGAATTATGGTAAATAATGAAATTAAAACTTGTTTTAATATAACTGTAGAATAAATATATTGCCATATTATACTATACAGAAATATAAAGACTTATATAATACATCTATGTATTTGTTTTATTGTTTAATAAGTTTACAAAATGATGGGGTAAATGCGGGCACTTTAAATAGAAGAAAAATTACAGTTAGGGGTTGGAACTTTTCGTTAACCAGTGGCTGAACTAGAGAGGGATTAGGGGGAGGGGGTGCTATTCCTCACCAACCTCCAAATTAATAAATTAATAACTGAGTTAATTTAAATGTTAAAAAAATTAAAACGCACATAATTAGAACCTTTTCCTTATTATATCACACTATTTTAAGTTTACTTGCTGTCGTGCAACCTACTTGCATAAACATAGTAGAATTATTACATATTTAGATATTTTAAATAAATCGTGTTTTTGTTAAACACTAGGAATTAAGAAATTTAAACTTTATATTTTAACATGCTTAGATAACCAGGCATACACTATTTTAAATTTCCTTTTTGCAGTGGCGTAGACTAGGATTAATTAACATAATTTAAACTAGGTCTTTGACCAAGGTTACTATGGTCTTTGGCTAGGTATTATAATTAAACTTACCTTAACTAACAAATAAAAGTTATAAATTTTATAAACATTTTTATTGAAAGCAAAAAAATCACTTCAACAAGAAACAATTAACTTTTTCAAACATTCAACAGAAATTTCTGATTTTTGTTAGGTTCTTGAAGATATGGGTGTTGGAGATTTGTTCGAAGAACAAGCAAATCTGTCAGATGTACTTGAAGGCAAGGCATATCTGGGTGCAGCATTGCACAAAGCTAAAATTCAAGTAAACGAAGAAGGTACCAAGGCTGCAGCCGCCACGATATTGTTTAGCTTCCGTTCTAGTAGACCTGCTGAACCTGCTCAATTCATTTGCAACCATCCCTTCATTTACTTCCTGTACAATAAGGTCGAGAATTCTATCCTCTTTGCAGGTGTGTTTAGAAGACCTCATTAAAAATGCAGGCTGCGACGGACACCTACGTCATTATTACGTCAGATTTGTTGCGTAATAAGTCATGACGTTTCAAGTTTGCAACCCAGATTACATTGAGTCCTTACAATCTTTCCTAATGTACTCTTTTGACTAGGACCCTAAGCATATTATATTATATTTATTGTTTTATTAGGAGTAAAAATGATACTCTTTGTGGTAAGGTTGAACATTTGACATTACAGGCGAGATGTAAAAAGTCATTTTACTCCGAATAGAACATGCTATTTTTTTCAAACGTTGCAAATAATATAAAATATTTAAAAGTTATACCTTGTAAGTTATTATATGTACATATATCGAGAAACTATGGTTATTCTCGTTGAACTTGACACTTTATGTCAGTTTAAAAATATATTTTCGTAGTGCCAAAGTGCCAAAAATAATAATACTTTTGTGACGTTTGAAAAAAAATATTCTTGTTACAGTTCAGTGTATTATTGGTTGTATATCTAGGACATCACACATTGCATCACATGAATTAAAATACCGTATGATCGAATAAAAACGGCGTCAGCGATGGTTACGAAATGAAGATCGGTGTCATTTTATATGTAAAATTATATTTTGTTTGGAAATGTCATCGATCGTCATTTCATAGCCATCGCTGACGCCGTTTTTATTCGATCATACGGTACAATACTTCAAATAAAATAAAAGAAGCTAAAATTAAGGAACAATAAGTGACGTAGGTCTCATAGTGAATAATTATAATAATATAAAAAGATCTTATTGTCCCAGTCCTGATTCCTTTCATTGTTGATTATTAGTATTACTTAAATGTTTTTATATTTATTTGTGATTCTGTTAAAGTATTGACCTTTATTTTTTAAATAGACTTAAGATTTTTTCTCTTTTTTTATATACACCATCAGTATCCCTAAAAAATTGTTAATAAATTGTATATACATATATACTCTTTTGTTTTCTTATGACGGTTTATATCCGACAATTTATTACATTTATAAAATACTAGTTGAAGCCTGGCGCATCCGCCACATCAGGAGAAAAAATACTTTTTATTTTTTTTTAATTAAACGAAAAACAAAAAATCCGGCGACGACAGTTTTTAGAAGAGCCAATTAGCTAACTTTTAGTAAAAAAAGCAACTTTCTAGAGCAAGTCGTTACTTCAGTAGAGACGACACAGATAAACATTAGCATTTTATCCTATGTAGATATTTACTGTTTCTTGAGTAATTTATTTATTTATATATGATGTGATTCTTGCATTACAGGTATTGCATTTCTCCTAAAAAAAACGAAAAATAGGAATAATTCGGATACCTAATTACCATAATTCGAAATTCGAGCTGCTTCGATCGTTAATATAGAAAATGATTCTTGTTTTTTCTGTTCAAAGTTTGATCAGATACTGTCCAATAATATTTCAAATAAATTTGATTTTTTGAAATGACTGAAAAGTTTTTCCACGAAACTGATAAATTTGACAAATAAACGAAGCTTATAAAGACCGTTTTTTAATTTCCAAAAAAAATAAATAATACTAATATGCGTTGATTCACTCAATCAAGATAAAAGTAGTGTACAAAATAGTATAGTTAATACAATTATAAACAGTACAAATAAACAAAAACGCTCCACAAAAATCAGAAATTAATAAAATACCTAATATCAGGCTAATATCTACACCATTATTAATTTAATTATAGAATAGCATTAAAAGCCTAGTGTTACTCGTGGCTTACAGATAAAAAATGTATGCTTCCTAACAAAAAGTTCATCGACTAAATAAATTTCAAAGAAATAATGAATCTCCTGATTATCCTGCTATTTGACCACATCGAGTGGTACGATTTTACGTCATAGGCTAACGTGGCTCCACGTTTACCACAGCTTAAATAGATTCCCGTTAATGAGGCGTTCAAAAATTCAAGTTTTAACCAATGCATGTTACCTGCTCAACACAGCATATCATAAAATTTGCGAAATATATTTTAAACTTTGATCGTCACATCACAATCATCACACGTTTTCTGTGACTAATTCGTGACGTCATTACATGCCCCACTCTCTATCTTTTTTTATTTATGGATCTGTCTTCTTCGAATACAATGGCGTGCCTTACATAATTTTGTAATATGTGCCAGTAAAACTTTGATATCGCTAGATAAAGTGTACAACTTGATAATTTAAGTTTATTGCACTAGTAGTTTCAATTTAAACTCGTGTTTATAAGTATTATCGATTAAGTAATTTTATAAATATTTTATCAAACCTTATCCGGCGCCGACTATGGCAAACTCGTAGCCTACTTGTCAAATGCACAAATCCTTTTCTGTCATTTCATTCACTTAAGTAAGCGGTGTATTGTTGAACGTTTGAAATGTTTTTTGGAGAAAGTTTATTATTATAAAGTAACTAACAAAATTTTTGGTTTCCTCTAATCGACTAGAAAAAGTATTAGCGTATTTTGTACCCCAAATCGATCTACGTCAAGAATATATTTATTTTTTAATTGACAGTGATATCTCGGGAGTGTAGATTTAAAATAGTATTTAGAAATCTCTGGATTAAGCATTTTCGATGTTAGGTAAGTCCTTTTTCAGTTTTATTGATTAATTTCAAAAACTTATAGACCTATTTTAGTGTACATTTCGAATAGTTATATAGGTTATCTGAATATTACATCATGACATATGTTTTATGGCTTTTTATAGACGTAGATTCACATTCAAGGACTGACCTTAGAAACTTTATAACAATGTCCAGAAAAAGAACCAGGAGTCATTCTGAAGAAGGGGTTGCTGCAGTTACAGTGCTCAATTTAACTTCACACATACAGCCACTCAGTTCGGTAAGTTTAACTAGTTGATATTTACCAAGATATAAAAATAATCCCCAATTTAAAATAAAACTAAGAGGTACCTGTGACCAATTTTAGCAATTTTTAAGCATGTACCAACAGAAACACTGAATAATTTAAACAGAACATTAGTGTACTTTGGAAGTGTAAAAGCAAATGTATAAATGTATATGCATACTACTTGATGCATACAAAATCATAATGTTGGTTGTAATTAATAGAATTTTGAAAAAGTTTTTATGCTGTGATTTATTATTTTAATTTTTTTGATGTAAACAATGTGAAATTAAGGTAAGTAAGAAAAATATTAGATAAAAAAAGCTTGTAGGTAGTGGTTTATCTCGATGATCAACTATTTGAATAATTTAAACAGCTTGTAGACATGTAGACAATGTTTTATGTAAAGCTATTTGCACAGATTGATCTCTCATCATAAATTTATGCTTTACATTCTTTGATCTTTTCCTAAAACTCCTTGTATTAATAATTATGGTACTTGAAATCAAAGTTTTTTATAATCAATTTATTAATTTGCAAGTCAAAGGTTATTTTGTCATCAAGATCATTATGAATTTATTTTATTTTTCTAGTTTGTATATAGCGAATACATATTTTTTATAATAAAAATTTAGTGTTAAGATGTTTATTTTTGGTTGCTGGTAACTAAGAGTGGGTAAACTTAAAATTTTTAATGTATTTGCATAAATACTTTTCCTTTATTGCCATAATTAATTTTAATTCAAAGTAATAAAATATTAGTTAAAACAACTATAAAGATAATTAATTAATTACAAGCACTAATTAAAAACCAGCTTTATATATGTATAGAGTGTCTCAATTGTATCTGTATAGATGAAACTTTAAGAGCATTTTGGTAGCTCTTTCAAAATTCAAATTTTAATTATTGAATTTTTTGTTTGTAAATAGAAGTATTCTCTAAGCATCTTTTTTATTATTACCTTATTTGTATTATTATTATTATGTATTATTGTTATTCTTAAATTGCAAATAACGTCTTTTATGAGGGTGGCGAACATTAAGGTATATAACACCCTAAGAAATCTAAGAATGCAGTTGAAATTATTTCACCTGTTGCCTGTTTTATTTTAATATCATTTTCAAGAAATTCTTATGGCTCTGGGTTTTCCAACTGTAAATATTCTTTCTTAGTTTGAATAGTACCATTATCCCTAACTGTATATCCTAGAATAATATAGACATTAAAGCAATTTATTATAATTGTCTTGTGCTGAAGTCTGATGCAAAGGAAGCAAACTATCTGTTTGGTCAATTTCAATTATTTTTTGATTTAGTAAATGATTTAGTCAATTTATTTGATTTAGTAAATTTTTAGTGATCATGTTTTATTATGATATTTTCAACTTTTTAGAATCTGCAACATGTTCATACATAGTATATAATAATTATATTTCCCAAAATGTTTTTATTCAATGGCTAAAATAGACAAGGGTGCGACCAGTGTAGGTATTTTTTTATTTATCTTATAACTGTTATATTTATTTTTCTTCGTTAGATACTTTTGTTTTGTATTTTTTCTTTTAATATTTAGGTCGCAATACAGAATGGCTGGCTACAGGAAAATACAACAAAACTGTAATCAAATTATTTATTTAGTATTGAGGCATCTCTAAAATTATATACTATTTTTAATTATGTATTCAACACGAAAATTTTGAATTCGTTGAATTGAGAATCAAATCAGTTAAAGTGTAAAAAACAAAGTGATAAAAATATAGGTCCAGCAATCACAAAACCTAAGGTTAAAATAATAGTAAATATCAATCAGGAGATGGTGTTATGCTGTCTGTTCAGGAATGTATCAAATATTTACTCAGAGTTCACAAAATATTACAGAAAAATCAAATAGTATAAATTTTGGAAAAGATACTTCCGTAGATCGACTGTATTCCACATTGCTTGAAGATTTCTAAAAGCAATCGTTTTTTAAGAAAAATAAAATCAAAAATTAACTTTATAGTTTTCTTTATAATTCAAAAATACATTTTTAACTGTTGTTTCCTATTTTTTTTAATGTCCTGGAATTATCAAAACAACATTTTCCATTTACCTTCTTTAGTTCATTTATAAGTTCACTAATTTTTTAAATATTAATGAAGAGGAATAATTTTTATATTTGTGCACACATTTTTACGCTTGTACATGCTGAAAATTATGGTTAAATTATGTTTTATACTTTGATATCCAATAAACAATGTAATGATTCATTATAAAATATGTCAAAAAGTTTATGTAACATTAAATTTCATTATCACTGAAGTTATATCTGCTAATTTATGTGTTCTTTTCTCTTTATCTGAGTTAAAAGTAAAAGTATTAAAATAGACTTTACATTCATGACCAGACTCTCCAATATTTGTGAGTCATTATTTTATCTTGTAAATTTCGAGAATGGTTCAAGGTAGTTAACCCAGCATAACAAAATGGTAGATTTGTCTATTGTTCCACTTCAAAAGTAGTTGGTAGACTTTCTTTCTGAGAATACGCCGGTTTTAACAATGTGGTAGGATGTGACGTCACGCCGTTTTTTGGTGTCACAGAGAATATTTATAAATCCTAGTATAAAAGAAGATTACACATATTTAAATAATGTATACTATTTTATTTACATTGAACTTATTATATTGAACTTTATTCATTATTATATTGAATTTATAATATAATATGTATTCTAAAAAGAGCAATGTTCATTTTCAATCAAGTATCACAACACTATCTATTTAAACCAAAAACTCGTAATTCAAAACTAATATGTCAAAACGAATGACAATGTCAGAAAACAAATAAATAAAATGTGGCAACATTTTTTACAGCAGAGCTACCACCTGAATCCTCAGCGGGAAATTTAAATTTAAGTTAGTCAGCCCGGCGCCGAATATGTCCATGGTTGGCAACAATGAATTTGAAAATAGCGCCCTCGATTACGTAACTAAAAGTTTAATTGGTATCGCCTATATACAGGGTGGTCCGAATTGTATTCATTGTATTCAACATAATAAAAATAATAGCTCCCGTATAGCGTTTAACGCCTTGGGAGTAGCAAGGTACAGCTTGCTATACTTCATCATATTACTTACGTTCAACATATTCTAGATAAAAATAAGTAAAACACTTCATATAAATGTATGTCCTAAAATGCTTAGTTTCGGAGATACAGGGTGTAGAAGTTTCATTTTTATTTCGATTTTTTCCAAATAATTTCTGAAGTAACGTCAATATTTGGATGAAAATTGGTGTCTGAAAATTGGAGTTTTTGACATGATAAATTTGATTTTGATGTCAATATGACTCCTATTTGTAGGAGGCGCCACCTACATGTGTTTTAACTGTTTCGATGAGTGATAACTTTTTGTCTTTGCCGTGATTTTTTATGAAAATTATATATATAGTATCTGGTAAAATTCGCTGCGAGCAACCGTTGTCAACATATTTAGAATGGAAACAGTCAATACAAAAAACACATGTTTAAGATAGTTATGTCACTTAAATTGTAAATTTGGGAACTTTTTATTTCTTTAAATTAGTCATAAATTATTCTTCGAAAAAATTCGTTCTGTCGATTTCTGTCGAACTTTTGGCACAAAAACATTTCATATTTATGATTCCAGTCTAATAACTATTTAGTTAACATGTTTAATTTATGTCAATGATGACAGGTATTGATAATTTCTATTTCAAATATCTCGAGAACCATTACTCATAGTGATTTTTACCAAGAGACCTTTTTTAACTAAAATACGCCGTAAATGTATATTTTTTACTCATGTACGGGCGAAAAGTTACTACTCTTCAAATCAGTTAAAAATATGTAGGTGGCGCCCTCTACAAGTAGGAATCATAGAGACATCAAAATCAAATTTTCCATGTCAAAAAAAATTCCAGACACCAATTTTCATGTTACTTCAGGAATTATTTGGAAACACTACTTCTATACCCTGTATCTCCGAAACTAAGCCCCCTTTATAGGACATAGATTTATATGAACTTTCTTACTTATCTGCAGAATATGTTGTAAAATCGGAATTTGTATTCTGGAAAGTTTCCGGAATACAGTTCGGACCACCCTGTATAACTTCTGTATAGGTACATATATTTATAGGGCAGTATCCGGTTGATTTGGTCAAAGTGTACTTGGTCCAAGCACACTTGGACCGTGTCATCCCGCCTTTAAAGAATGATTGTATATGAGAACTAAGTGGAATTAGTGATCTAAAAAGCCAACACCATTCTGTATTGCGATCGCTATTAGAGCCCCCATTCTAGAGACCTATTTTTTTCTGACACTGTGTCCCCTAACTTTGCAGGGCAACTACACGGCCGCACCCTTTAGCGAGGACTCCGTACCCACGGAGATCCGCGACAATATCGACTATTCCGTTAAGATCGACATGGAAACTGCGAAAAGGGGCGACAGTCACAGACCGGTCAGGGTGTACGCTGACGGGGCCTTCGACCTGTTCCATCAGGGCCACGCCAGGCTGCTCAGGCAGGCCAAGAACGTCTTCCCCAATGTCTACCTCATCGTAGGAGGTGATTATTGATTATTATCAAACTCCTAGATCAGTGATGGTCAACCTTTTGAGCTCGGTGTGTCATTTCGGTCCAAGAACGGTAAAGTAATAGGATTGCTCATCCTCATAAGACGTACGTTCGCCTCTTCCCGCGCTTCAGCTGACAGGTGTGACGTCATTGTAGTCCTTGTCATGATAGTGTGTATTATTGGTTGCCTATGGTAAACTAATAAAAATAACAGCTGAGAAATTTTAAGTTAATTATTTTGTCGATTTTAAATGTGAAAAAGGTGTTTTGAAAGTTTTTAGAGCTATAGAGTTTATAAATACGTTCATTTTTTGTTGTGGATAGTGACTAAGTGCCTACGATATTGTTTATTAACTATTTTAAAGAAAAATATCCAAATACCCGAAGTACTCTAAAAAGAATGTCTGCAACAG